TGAGGCTTCCAAAACTTTTCAGTGAAACTAGCACAAGTCTCTAGTAGTCTGAAATTAGCAAAGGTTTCTCTAATTACTCATGCAGCAAGGTATAGCAAATAATTTTCTGTTTACTCTGATATCATATAAATAATGGCACTTACGACTCTGAAAGAGCAGGAGTAGCAATGAGGGTAGTTTGCCAGGAAAACTTTCAAACAAGAGTAAATATGCAATTGGATAAGTTCAGCCTGCATGGCCAGAAGATGGACGTCTCATTCCTGGCATAAATCCAAACCTGGAAAATGGGTGATCATTTCGTGGAAAATAAAAATTTACTGTCCCCAAACAGCAAAAAAGCCTAGTAATATTAAAAAAAAGTCCTTGGCACCTGGAGGAAGCAAGTTGTAATATTTGAAAATAAAGCAACAGTTCTCTTTCTGTCCCTGGTCAGTGTTAGATTGCAGCATGCCTGCCCCTAGCCCTGTTCCGGAATTATTTGGATTTTCTGTTGTGACCTTGGAACTGGCTTTCCCCTTGTCTTGCCTGACTCTCTCTGTAGTAGGCCTCTACTCTGTTTACACAGCTCAGGTGCTGTGGGACTCTGCCCCTTCGGCCTGGCCTATGCTGTGGCTGCCCTTGGTTCCCAGCTTGACCTGTCTTAGGGAACAGCCTTAATTTATTCTCAGTTTTGTTACTTTATGAAAACTCCACTAAGATTTTCACATATACTTTTTAAAGTTTTTCCATGCATAGACATTATATGATGTAATATTATATATGTAGTGTTTTAATATATAATAGCATAATCTCTAAATTATATGCTGTCTATATACAGAGGCACTTATGTATTCTTTTTATAAATCTCTTCATATTATATATAAATACTTCAAGGAAATATATCTGAAACCACAAACCATTTCAAATAACTGACATAAAGCTCATATGGAATATATGCAAAGTATTTGTTTTTGCCAGCTATCCAGTGATAATGGTCAAGTTGCTTACGGAATACCTAGATAAATGGATGTCATACAGATTTTACAGAGTAGGTGCTTGCTTTATTCGACTAATAGTTTAGAGGAAAAAATTAAATAAAAAGTACATAACAATTAAATTTCTCATTTTCAAAGAGCTAACTGGCAAAATCCTTTTAAGAAAAAATTGAAACTCCAACTTTTTTTCCTCATAGTCTTCTAGAATTTATCTACCTGTAGATAGATGAATGCTGGAAGACCATTTAGAGATGATGTCAAAATTAGCTTTCTCTCAAACTCTGAAATAACTGGACATAAAATCTTAAATTTACGGGTTAGGTGTACAGTTATCATTTATCTGACTGTGTTTGGGGAAACAACTCTACTTTGTTTAACTTGACTTTCTAATGATCTGAAGAAACTGAATTTCTTATGTCTTCATTAAAAACGTTAGCATTTAAAGTGTAGCTACTCATTTTTTTTTTTGAGTATTTCAGTTTAATACAGGATAATTTATTTGAAGTAACTACACTTGATAATAAGTACCAGACATTTTGGAATACTCCAGAACCACATAACTTGACAATTAAAAATGTCTATCCCAACTGTAATGAGTTCACTTGATGTTGAATATTCTTTTCACAGCAGAAACAGTTTTCCAAGGTAGCTGTTTTCTTTTTAGCTCAAGAGGATTGAGGTTAGCTTATTCTTCTAGCAATGCAGTCCAAATTCCTAGATGACTTACTGTGGCATTTAATTATACTTATCATTACCAAGTTTCTCATAATTTCTAACCTTATTCTAACCTCTCTTTATTTCTTTTGGCAAAGCTTAAGGCCATTACTTCTTGTTCGCTCTAAAGGATATGCAGATCTTTTTGCCTTCCTCTAAGTAATAACCTTTTATGTGTTGAAGACAGTTATCACTTCCTCCTCAATATGTTGTTCCTTCAGTAAGACAACCTATAATCTTTCAGTCTTTCCTCATCCTGTTTTGTAGACCTTCTATCATGGATCTCTTCTGATCTGACATCCGTTAGTTCACATTTTTCCTGAAGTGCAGTATCCACTGAACAGAGTACAGCGACTGAAACATTAGTACTGTCAAAATTATGGAATCATAACATCATTTTGATAGGAAGGGACTTCTAGAGGTCCACTAGTCCAAACTTGCACTCAGAGCAGATCCAGGTAGCTCCATTGCTTCGAGTGGAGTTTCTTGTGTCTCAGAAATGATTCTGCTATGTATAAATCATAGTTTTAGATTGGTCTTTTCTTGGTTAATGATCTGATATTGACAGTGTCTAGTAAGTGAACCACTGTATTATCCAGAACTTATTTTATAGAATAAAAACCAGTTATAGAATAAAAACCAGTTTTTATAGAATAAAAACCTAATCAGTTGTTTTCCTTCTGAATTTTTGCAATTTATAATTCATTCTGAAGTATAGAAATATTAATTCAGTTTGGAAGTCATCTTTTTTAAATTAATCTTTTAGTTTCTAAAGCTTATTTTGAATTATGATTGTATCCCTATTATAAAGTGAATACACATTCAATTAGCATGCTTTCTGCTCCAACACAGAAGAATAAATGGAAATATTTAACTTTGCCTTATATAGGAACATGACTCATTACAACTTTCCAGATGGGTAATGAACCTCTCTTAATGAAAAGGACAATCCGAGCATTTGAATTTTCTTATTATTTAATTTTAGAAAAAGAGGGATGACTTTGAGTATAACATGACATTATGGCTTTCCACAGCTTCTTCCCTTCTCCATATTCTCCTGACTGTATGTTCAGACAAATGGAATAGTTTTATTATTTGTTCAAGGACAAAAGAGAGTTATTCTTCTGAAAATTACATTAACTGGTCTGTAACTTCATAGCCCTCCTCTATCCGTAGTCTAAAATTTATTAGATTGGAAAGAGTTTAAAGATAAGTCTTTTGCAATATACTTGAACGTCCCCAAACTTCCACAAATTCTTAAAAGTAAATGCTAATGGATCTGAAATTGCTCAGACCGGTTCTCCTATGGTGAATTCATCAGCTCCAAACTTCCTGAAAATATTTTGAGTCTAAGGACTCTGTAAAGGTACCTTTTCTTATTTAGTCTAAGCTTTTTTACCTGTGTTTCTTGTATTAATTGTATGAATTATCTGATCAGCGTTAGCCTTTTATTGAGCCTTGTTGCTCCTTTTTGTATGCTTGTTATATTTTGTACTAGCATAGCTTCTGCTTGGCCTGTAAAGTGCTTTCTGTAAGGAATTCACAATTCATGTGAACAACTGCTTTCCTTATAGATGTTTTCCATGAGATACTTCATAACAATTTTCTGAGTTTATTAAGAAATGCTTTCATAGCAGTACTGTCTTTATTCTGTCACTTTTTCTGCTTCTTAAGCATCATTCCAGGATCATTACTTAAATTCCACTTTCGCATTTTCAGTTAGGTCTTCGTTCTTGTCAGTACTACATCTAGAAGAGCTCCCCTGAATTCATTTACCTATCTATCGTTTGAAGGTTTTCTGTTACTACATGCTAGTGGCTTTTCTGAGCGATTTATTTCTTCTTAGGTTCCTCAGCAGCTCTGCTATGGTCAGGAGGGTACTTTTTATGAGAAAAAATTTTTGAATCAGGTCTTAACCTTCTTAATTTCAGTAGATATAAAAATAGAATCCCAGTGCAGTCTTGATTCAATAGTTTGATTTACTTAGAAAAAAAAGTTTGTGAGAGGCAAGAGGGGAACTGATACCCTTCAAACACATTCACTTTTAAGAACAACAGATTTCCCTGCTTTCTTCTGTGTATTTTGGGTAAAATCTGTATTCTGAAGTTCCAGTTTTGGGCAGATAAAAAAGCATGAATCATGGGACACTTCCAAATAGAGGTCAGCATCAGCAAAGCTGACAAATCCATATTAAAGCTGTCAGGTGCCTGTAGAATGAACTGCCTTTAACCCCGCTGAAGTCTGATGAGGAGATTTAGGGCTGTATGAACTTTGTTATGTTACCCTGGAGAGTTTATCTTATTATTCATTGTCTTGTACCTGGTGCAGTAACTGCATTTAGTACCCTTTTTCTTGCCTTCCTTTGTGCTTTTTTTTTGTTGGTATATGAAATGGAGAAGCTTCTCTAAAATGTGAGCAAAGCTTGAGCTCATATTTTAACCTATCAAATAGAAATTGAAGATGGGTATTGTACTTGTAGTAGAAAGCTCTGGCTTTGTCTTCTATCTTTTTCTCTTCAGCTTTTTGTTTAAAGAAAATTATCCTTTTTTGAGAAACAGAAGTAAAAGTCCTACGTTGTTTCAGGCTTTAAGTTTGTGTTAAGTACCTTTACTTATTTTTTTCCATTAATTTTCTATATCTTTCTTAACAAAGCATTGAGGAAACAATCAAGAAAAGTGTAAAACCTGATATTTGAAACACTTGATTGATGTTAGGGATTTGAATTAAAATTTTTATTTTTTTTCAGTTGCTAAATCACACAGTACAGAGACTCGGAATGTCCTTCCAAATAACGCATTTGATATTAGTATAAAGAGCACATTTAGAATCTGTGTTGGTACGACTGCTTGAAGATAAGCCTACAGTGTCATTTTTTCACATAAAAATGAGAAAGAGGGTCTTTAGGCTAAATTTAGTTGGAAGATAAATAAAGTTAAATAGGTTTAGGAGTCAGATAACCAAGAAATCTGAACCTGAGAAAAAACTTCTTCACTGTGAGGGTGACAGAGCATTGGAACAGGTTGCCCAGAGAGGTGGTGGAGTCTCCTTCCCTGGAGATATTCAAAACCCGCCTGTATGTGATCCTGGGCAATATGCTCTAGGTGACCCTGCTTGAACAGGGAGGTTGGACTAGATGATCTCCAGAGGTCCCTTCCAACCTAAACGATCTGTGATTCTGTGAAATAAAAAAAATTCTTCTATTTTTCATTTTCATCCTGTGTACAGGGAAAGGAATCATGATAATTACACACTTAAGACAAAAAAAAAAGTGTGAGGGGGCACTCATCTATTCTATCTTTTTAATTCATGCAGGAAGAGCCATATGTGATGTTCAAGAAGTCTGACAAACCTTTGTATGGAAATGATCGATTTGAAGGTTATTGCATCGACCTCCTCAGAGAGCTATCTACTATCCTTGGATTTTCCTATGAGATTAGGCTGGTGGAGGATGGAAAATATGGAGCCCAGGAAGATGCCAATGGACAGTGGAATGGAATGGTTCGTGAACTAATTGATCATGTAAGTTAACTTTTGGAAGATTTCTACTGTGTAAGATTTCTTACTGTAGTAAGACCTTGGTCAATTCTATCGATGAAAATTATAAAACATACTATGATAATACTATTTGAATAATTTTCTCTTGTGAAATGTAGTTGCTTAAAAAAAGTAATGCAATTAGATCCACATCAATGTTGTTTTCAAATTTGAACGTATATTGTTAAGCAAAGACAAATCTGCATCTCTATTTTGTCTGTTAACGATGTTAGTTTCCTGCCAGAATGCTTTAGCTCTTTCATGGCTTATGCCTAAATCAAAATGTAGAATAGATAGCATTTGGAATTTGTTTCTGAGAATAGATATTTTTGTGAACAGACATACGTCTTAGTCAATCAGTACCAGTCAGGCCTTTTCTTCTAATAGTGTAGCTAATACTTTTACTCAGAAGAATGTGTATGTATGTCCTGTAAATCCATGAGTTATTTAATATGCACTAGCAAGAGGTATATTTTTCTCAAAACAACTGCAATGAAGTCCAAGCAGTGAGACAGAAATATCAGTTATACCAGTGCAGCAGAGTAGTGCAATGTGTGTCAAAACAGATGCCATTACAATTATTTGTAATTGAGTAAGTCAGGTATCACTCTGTGTACTTCAAAATATACTTTCTCATTTGGTTGTGCCAGTTGAATTTGGTTTCTCAAAAACATACTTAGCCTGTTTGAATATTACGTCATTGCCCTCCTTTGCAATATATTTGGGTGAATTACTCAGTAGAGGCATTTAATCATAGACCTTGAAATAAAGCAAGTACTCTGCCCATCCGTATTATTTCAGCTAGGAAGGGGAGATTATTCTAAGGCTAATTCAACTGAAACTTATGATAGCAGAAACTGCATGAACCACTTCAAGCAAAAACATTCAGTAATCTTATTCTGATTTGCTTTAAGATTTCAGCAGATGAACAGAACATGTGCTAATCAAAATATTCATATTTACTACAAGAGTTGTTATCTTAGTGCTTTTCTAGTAAATGATAATCGGGCGTTGCTGTTGCAACAGATACTGATTACATCTAGCTTCATGCTTTTAAGATGAATGTGTGGGCATATTATATTTATACTATCTTTAAATGTCTGTGTGCATTGTACCTAATACAAAATATACATAAATAGAAAACAAAACAGATATGTAGCTAGAATTTGTTTCTCCATCTATTATGTATGTAAGTGCACAGGCATGCATACCTGATGGTTTAATGGTTGTCAGGTAATATCATCTTTTAGAACTAGAAGACTGGGATGGATGCTGTGGAAGTATTTTATAATTCTTTCGGAGCTCTGGAAAATGTCATTTAGGTGTGCTTTTGTTATTCAGCTTTCTTAAATAAGCACTAGTGAGGTCCTCTGAGCCTTTCAGTAAGACAATCTTGAAATGAAATACATTTGAAGAAGTTAAGGCAACAAAACATGTGGAACTGGGGCTTTTCCAATTCTTTCTTCTAGATAACACATAATGGAACATGTGTTCCTCTTTCCCCTAGATAATATATAACTAAACTTTAATTGATTTTTAAAATATAATTTTCCCTTTGAAATAATCTTCCTCGCTTAGGAGTCAAAGTAGTTTTGGCAGAATGCTTAGACAGGGTGCATCATGGAAGATGCAATCTAATTTGTTATCCTGGATTGTAGGGAGAGTAGGGGGCAGAGCCAGTAGATGTACAATTCACCTCCTGTGCTGACCCTTCTAAATAAAAACCCATCAATTTTTAACTTTTTTTTCAGTTAATATCTGTTAAATGGTTTAGATGCTTAATTGTTAACAAAAATCTTAAAACAGTTATTATTCAGAAAAAAAAAATCAGGGGTCACAACTTTTGACTGAGACTTTTAATAGCCTCTCTCATTTCTTCATTTTTTAAGACTTCCTTCTTCATTTTTCTCTGTTCTTATGCATATGCATGAGTATATGCATATTATTCATGCATCTAGCTCTTTACATGCATGCCTGTTATTGATGCATATTTGTTTAATATTTCACACGGTCAGTTAGCTTCATTTTTCACAGTCTTATTTTCCCCATAGAGTATATTTATTAAAATATCAAAAATGGCTTAGTTTTGTACAAAGTGAATAAATAAACTCAATTGTTATATCTTTTGGAAAGGTAACATGATTCTGTATAAATTTTCCAACCTTAATTTCTGATTAAAATGAATGGACTACACAATAGAGTAAAGATAGAGTTCTGAAAGTTGTGTAGTACCTAAATACATCTATTTGAAAATTATTTTTAGAAGTTTTTAAAATCTTATTTTGCCTACTTGTTACAGTTTTAACTGTCAGTTACTTAAGTCCAGAAATGATCTATGCTACAGTAAATATCGTTATGAGGTAATTCAGAGCATTTGTAACTCAAGAATAAATAAAATTCACAGTTTCAAATTGTCCTTTGGACAATGACTGTATATTATAAAAATAGAAAGGAAGATGCACAGTTTATATGAAGTTAAAAAATACAGAACAGAATATAAATATTCAGATTGCAGTACCTAAGCTGCTTAAATCTGCGTTTAGTCACTTTACATAGTTACTTGGCTGAAGTGCTTAGGCTGAAAAGTGCAAGTGAACTGAAAATTATGCCACCTCAGCTGATGTCAGCAAATCATGTCAGTCCTAAACGTGAAATTCTACAGTGTGAACAGAGGCTGAAGTAGGGGAGCCTTTGCATCAGGCCATGTGTGTTTTGAGTCTCCTGTCCTACAGTTTACTTGCTTTTCTTCTTTCTTTCACTGCGTTTCACAGTATTTGCGTGTACTTTGTGCCATCATTCTGATGCTAGTTCACAAAAAATGATTAGTTTCCTTTCAAATACAGTAAATACTGAAAGTGAAAAATCACTGAAGTTCAGTGATTCCTTCCCTTTAACAGCTGAATGGAGATGAATGCTTCTTGATAGAAGAGACGGTGGCCTCTGTAACTGCAAATGAAAGAAATGTTCACCAGAACAACAAATACAGATGCATTTTCCCTATGAAAACTTTTAAAATGGAAATTCTCAAATTAAGCGGTCAGATCTCTGCCACAATGAGGGATTTTTTTTTTCATTTAAGTGTCTACCCCCTTCTGTGTTTGATTAGGTACAAAGGCTTTATATATTCATTGAGAAAAAATCCTAAAGCCCAATTATCTCCATCCTTAATGGATGCATTCTTCATTGGAGAAAGGAGCTATTCTTTATACTGGCTTACAGTCATTGGCTTTGTGTAAGCATTCTGTTCAAAGTCAGATAGATTTATTAAATTGATTTTGAATTGGAATATAAGGTCGGTAGATTTCAGGTTGATCTGTGGTGCTGAAAAATTGTATAGCACCGTATTGTATTATATGAGAAATACAGTATGAATGTGTAAGTTATGTTCCAGTATAGATAGCAGATATGGATAGATTTTAAATATATAATTTAAATTTTCTTCTATTAGCAATTCCGCTTTACAGTTTCAAAATTACTTTCAAACATTCTTATGCTTTGATATTAAAACAGGCAAATAACTACTATTTATATATTTCCAAGAGATATAAACAAAACTATAAAATCTACTGATTAGTAATCTGTTAATATTGTATGACATTGAAAATAAGCCTTATTTCCTTGGCTGTCTGTTTGAATGATTCTTTTACAATACAAAGCTTGCGTGTTACAAATTGATCTTAAGGCCTGCAAATCTTTCATGATTCATAAGTAATTACAAAAGCGTCCCAATTTTTAGATCATGGCTACTATTTATTGTATAAGAGGATTAAATGCAAACTTCCCTTTGTATATTGGAAGGGTAGGATTCTCAGCTTGGAGGAACGTGAAATTTATGCAATTGGGCAATTGGAAAGCACTACTCAATTAACTTTAGACATAGCTTTGTGCTTCAGCTCAGAATCTTACAAGTTCTTTTAAATCAACATCTTATAAATGTAAAATGCTTAAATTTTAAAAAAGTAGTAGTGGCCTTTTATTCTCTCAATAATAGGAAAGTTTCAGAGGTTTATTTTTAAAAGTTTAAAATGTTTTTGGAGATATCTTCCTCCAATAACTTCCAATTCTTCCTATTTTATTTTCTAATTTAAGCTATTTATGTTCTTGAAGAACTAGGGCCAGGCTTTTTATGTTACTATACAGAAGAGAATAAAAGCTTTGACTAAGCGACTTTATAGATTTTTGGTTACTTTGAAGACAAATCTATATACCTAGAGGAATTCAAGTTTCTTTTACTTTTCTGTTTCTGCCCTTCCCGAATGCGGTTTGATCACACTGCTTGGAGTGTAGTTTTTTTGTTTTTTCTTACAGCAAAACCCTGCCTCATGGAACCTCATTAAGAAAGGCTAAGAAGCTTTTCTAGCCTCTTCTCCTCAAGGACAGATATGGTTTTCTGCCTTGTAATTTCCAGGCAAAAGGTCTAGAAACTGCTATTTTCAGTACACTGCAGGACAGTTTAGCCATGCTCCTTTCATTTATCAATATCTCAGAAAATTTAACAGTAATAACGAGCTAGAAACTTTTTAGGAGAAAGCTGGATGGAGCACTCTGACTTTTGTACCAACGTTGCATCTGCTGGAGAACAGATCAAGACGTATTTTGGCCTATTGTTGCTCTTTAAAGCATCGTATCTCCTGTGCAGTTAACTCATGGTACCTTAGTGCAAACACTGCTCTAAGGGAGACATTTTCCAAGATACGTAGAGCATTAAACTCCTACTGATTTTTCAGCTGATTCTCCTAAATTCATGTGCTGACGTTTATTCATATGCTACTACTTACCACACATTACTATTAGTCCATTGTCAAAATATTTCTCCATAGAGGATCAGTTGATTTTAACAGCTTCATTTAATGACTTTTTTAATTAAAAGAAATGTTACATAACCTCCTCTCTGTGATTCTCAGTATGACTTTTCTTAGTTTTTTTTTTTTTTTTTTGCAGTACCCCGAAGATTTTTAGTAAGGGCTGCTGTGCTAGTTCAGATA